TCTCTCTCTCTCTCTCTCTCTCTCTCTCTCTCTCTCTCTCTCTCTCTCTCTCTCTCTCTCTCTCTCTCTTCGTCGTTGTCCCCCGTGCAGGTACGCGTCACTCTCTTCCGCAGTGCAGCTATGGCGGACTGCCTCTTCAAAGGTGGCGCACTTCAGCTATGGCGCCCACGCATCTCCCCCCTGCTACAACGGCGATGCGCATGGAGTAGCGGGTACCAGCTCCGATACCAGTACAATCAGACTCGCATACTTCGTCGCTTCACATGCATACAAACAGATGGTGAATCACACTGGCGCATAGCACCAAACTCAAAGCTCGAAGATACGGAAACCAAGACACAGTTCAAATGTAAGCTCGCTTCAACAGGCTATGGTGCATCAGCACCAACACATCGCAACTCTTGTCTCTGTGTCCAACACCACTGTTCGCTTCACACTTCAACTCCGACTCACCCTGGATACCCCACACACACACACTGTACACACACTACACTAACAGCTATGGCAGCTATGGCCACCACTAACATTACCCTACAAGCAGCTATGGTTGCGCTAACTCCTTCAGCCCACTTCGACTTCAGGCTCCTCTGCAGACCACCTCGCACAAGTCACTGTGGCAGCGCTTCCGCATGGCTTCCGCAGGAATGAATGAATGGCGGTGCGCTACCTTTGATTTATACTTCTGTAACTCGTTGGTCTGCCTCTTTTCCTGCTGCAATCCCTCAATGTCACGGCCACAGGTAAGTACCGGCCCGAGCAAGTGCCCTTGCGGGCCACACACACACTCAAGCCAACCAGCACTCAGACAGACATGCAGTGCAGCAAGCGTGCACACACAGACTTCGTAGTAGGCGGCAAACTCAGCAAGGCATTCAGTCTATGGGCAAAACTCAGAAATCGGTCGTGTGTTTCAGTCCATGTTTGGACGGGTCATCACACTACCCCCCCCTCAAGAGCGAGGTCCCTTCAAGCAAGTAACTCATTCTGAGTCCTCGACAGACACATCGTAAGCAAGCAAGACAAAGAGTTTCCTAGAATACTCCGTCGCAGTAAGCCTTGCGGAGATCTTAGGAGTTGCGTTAGCTGCAATTTGTCGCTCGTAGGCTTTAACAACACGTGGTGCGCTGCGTAGCAGTTCCTGCTTGGAAATCCAGTACAGATCGTCCAACGGGTGATACATGAAGTGAACCTGGTACTGTCTGTTGCGTCCCTTCCCTACGTGCTGTTTAATTTTGTCTATCTCATGCCCGCCTTTGATTGCACGAGGGATCATGTCTTCGCGATAATCGAACGTCTTAGCGTCACAGTGGAGGTACAGTTTTGATGCATGGAACACGGGGTATGTGCACAGATGGGCTGGCACATCAACTACGTACGAAGGGCCAAAGTGGTCTTCGCCAACCACATCGAAAACTTCCCACGGACCATAGTAGAGTGGGAGAAGTTTGCGAGAGACTCCCTCTTCTTCTGAAAATTCAGACATCTTGACCCAAACATAGCTTCCTACCTGAATATCCAACAGTCAGCACCTTTTGTTTGCACGATGGATCATGATGTGTTGTCGCTTGGTCATTGCTGCAATGACAACTTTGAGCAAGCGATCATAGTTGGCCCTGAAGCCAGGCCTGCCGGGTGTTAAGCCAGCTGGCTGTTCAGGGAATAGGTAGGAGAGCGGATTACGGATCTGCCAACCGTAATGCAACCTGTTGGGTGTCATGCCGGCCCCTTAACGGAATACACAGCTCTTGATCCCATGTTTCCTGATCCGGAATAATCAAGGAGCAGAGAAGTTTAAACACAGTTTGGTTGATCTCCTCAACCAAACCATTGGCTTCGGGGTGTCGGCCAGATGTCATACACAGCCTAATCCCTAGTTGAGACGTGAAGTCCTTCCATTCAGTACTAATGAAGCGCGGATCCCGATCGCTCACAAGAGTCTTCGGGGTACCGAACTGCATAATGTACTTCTGCTGGAACTCACGGATCACTAGTTTTGTTGGAGCGTTGTCGAGCGCATCGGTCCACCACCACACGTGGCAGCGCGGGACCCTCTCGGCCGCCACGGAGGAGTTGGACCAACCTCGTCACGAACACACAAATGGAGCTTCCTTAGGCCGCTCCGGCCGAGTGCGCCAGCCATACCTCTCGCGAGCCGGTACGACAGGATAGGGCCTACGCGAGGCACAACTTACCTCCACCTTACGGGAGCTGTCACCTCCCTTTGGTGGGCGTATCCCCGCCGAGCTACCAGTCCACAGTACGAAAGCTACTCGGTTGCAATCACAGAGGTCGACCGGCCGAGGGCGTTTCTCATTCGTTGTAGCATAGGGGGTACGCGCGGTAATACGCCTATCGGACCCGCACGCGAACCGACATCTTGGGGGGGCTGAGGTCCCAAGCGCGACTCGTCGTCGGTCGACTAGGACGCATCCCACACACCACGCGCACGCCACTCTACAAATACACCAAAAAAAAGGAACACACACAGACACACGAAACGACACAACACAAACCACGCGACGACGCTCCTAGCCCCTTCAGAGGCCATCCCATAACTTTCCACTGCGGAAATCGGATAGGCATCGCGCGCGAGACTTAGTATAAAACCACGCGGACGCAGGGCCTACTCATATCGACTAGCAATGCAAGCGCACGCAAACAGTCACGATGATGGCGTACTATGTAGTACCCATACTCGCGCGGCCCTCGTTACTCTCGGGGGTCGCGTTCGACACTCAAGTGTCGGCTGACACGCGCCTTGAGGATTAATCTCTCGACGCCGGACAACCGCCATGCGCGGTTGAAGACCACACACCCTCTTCTGCACCTTATGCAGAGCGGGTGGTACACAGGTGGTGGCAGCTGTTTCTTGCGGCCCTGGGGGTGAGTCCTACCCCGGGCCTGGGCGAAAGTCAAGGGGTTTGACTTTGACAGCTGCCACAGACTATAACGTCCAACCATGATAATCCCTAAAAAGCAAACAAAGCACAAAAAAAAAGATAGGGCGAAGGTCCCCCTACTTCAAAAGAAATTGCGACCTTGGGGTACTCTCCCCTCTTCGGGTGGTGTCAGCGGCCTACAATAATCCCAGGCGTTGCGCCTACGTGCTCGCTCGACGACGCTGGGACGGCGAAACGTCGCGCGCAGGATTCTAACACAAAGCCGCGCGGCTACAAGCCAGTCCCATACCAACCAACGATGCCAGTCATAAGTGGTAATCGCGGCTCCGGCCTCGCGATATTAAATGGCTGAAGGAATATATCGTGAGGGGTCACTCTTCACGATATTGAACGGCTGAAGGACACGCCGTTCAGCCCTCGCGACATTTCCACCTTTAGGGTGGGGTGTCTCGACGACCAATGCAAATAGGCTCTGTACGAGGGGAAACTCCTCCTCTGCAGAGTCTAGGGCTTAGGATGTCCTGGGCAAGGACCTTGAATCTCGGCCCAGGGCCAACGTCCGACTAAGAAACTCCCAAGAAGCAAACAGGCAAAAGGGAAGGTCTTCCCTATGCCTCTCAATCTCAACCTTTAAGCAGGTTTTTAACATGGGGCCCCTCAGGCCACGCGAACATTCATCGTAAGTGCACCCACACATACACGCATAAGGGAGATAGAGTTGCGACGATCACTTCTCACAGGCACAATGAGACTCCTCACAACCATATGTATGTATATGGGATCGCAGGCAATCCAAATCTAAAATCCGAGCCACATGACACACTTGCAATCACATCAAGAATTGAACGACAAAACACGCACTACACGGAGTCAACCCAAACCAATCTCCGCACTCATACCCGTTGCTTTAGCCATGCAAGCCCC